AGGTTTTGCTAATTATGATTGTCAAATCATAAATTTTTAATTATCAAACAATTATTTTAGGATTCACATATAAATTCTCTTATACATTTATGACCATAAGTTGTCAATAGTTTTTTAATGAGAAAGCTTCCACAAATGATTAAGTAAATATTTAGTATCACATTTACCCCACTACTAGTAATAGAGATATCACTATTAGATGTTTACAAAGGATGATATTGGCTTGGAGTGAGTATGGTATTCCACTGAAGAGGATGATGATGAAGGTGGAAGGATTTCTGAGATATTGTTGTTAATTTGTTATCCCCTTCTTGTAAATATGTTAGTTGAAGGTGGAAGGAATTGTCACTTTGGTTTCATTGAAGATGATTATTGAATGTTTGAATATTACTTATCACCTCAATGACTTCATGTAATTCAATTAGTCAACAATGACCTCATAATTTCTTTTAGATTTTTTATAGTAAAACTCAAAACATTTCTCAAGATAGTAGGGTTGTGGATGATCCTTTAACTCTAATGAGTTGTTGAAAAGGTGTTGCAATGGCAGAGGAAACATATTTGAAATTATTTCTTCTTTATCATCATCTCATAACTATTATATTTATAGAAATGATTCGAAATTCAAATGGTTAGAAAACAAGACAATGTGCTCTTTATGAGTTTAGACATGTTTATGAGAAATCAATAAATAGCTTTCTCAAGAATAATGTATATATCCGAATTGGATCCATTTAGTTATAACTAATAAGGGTTTGATATCATTAAAACAAGGCTGATAGTATATATGTAGATAAGATCATGATTTAACAATCAAATCTTATTCAAATCAGCTTAAATAAAATATGATCAATATGTAAACATCAATGATAATGTCAATTTTATAATCATAGTTTCAGAGAGTCAATATCTAAAATAAATTTTCAAAATATTTTCTTTAATATCTAGAAAATCTTGTGAAGCAGAATTAATAGTCTGAATTCTATTGATTAATTTGATACCAAAAATATGAAAAACGTTTGACTCTCAAATATGAAAAATATGAAATCATTTATAAAATTATTAGTACTAGTCACAATTATGTTTAATAAATTATAGAAAATTGTATATGAAGAATATTATGTTCACTCTCATATTAATCATATATGAAGTTAGACTTTTAATCTGATCTTTTAACTAATCTTATGAATTTTTTCATCATGAAAACATCATTCATTTAGTAATTCAATAGACTCACCTTCTACATCATAATAATGAAGAAAGTTAAAGTTAAAACTAATTCATGATGGATCTTAATCTTGTGTTGTCATATACATATCAGTGTAAACAACATAGTACATTAAGCATAAAATTTTGATATTTAAGAGGTTTCATTATGAAATAGAAAATCAAATTAAGGTCAATATGCTAGTATATTAAAAATTATTGACAAAATAAAATATCAAATTCTATATGGCATGTAAATCACTTGGAATAATAAATATAATATTTAAATACATTGAAACATGTCATAGAGTGCAATATATATCAATCTTAAAATGTTAATATCTAAATAACTATTTTTAGAACAGTATACTATATCAAACTTAATACATCAATATGTTGAAGACTACATTATAAAGCAATTGAGTGTACCATGCTTAATATGTCAATATATAAGTGACTAAATTATAGAACAATGTAGTACATATAGTTTAATATGGTGATAAATTTAAATCACAAAACAAGACATAAGTCTTGAAATTGAAAGTAAGAACTTTACGTATTCAGCTCAATATATAAAATAAGTTATGGAATAACATAATATGTTAGCATAATATCTTAGTTCATGATGTTGATGTTTAAAACTAAGTTATTATGAAGTTGAACATCTTGATATATAGTGTGTTTGTAGCAATATAAAATAACATTGCATCATATGTGCATGCAATTCTAAATCATACAATCATTTGGAACCAATACTAGATATTATTAGTAAATTTCTCCATTGGAACTCTGAAATTCACAAAAAAGACCACATTGCCATAACAAAATCAATATTATCTATTAGAATGACATATGATGCAATAATGACTATTAAAAAGTAGATATAAATGAGAAACTTCTAAAAATAAGAAAAAAATATAATTAAAAATAATTAAATCATAAGTAATTATTAAGTATGAAAATGAGGAATTGAGACAAAAAAGACATCTTCAAAGATAGCTATAAACATTGAAAATTACAAAGAAATGCTTGAAAGCTTAACTTTCATCAATGATTTTTCATGGTGTTGAAAGTTAAGAGTACTTCCACTCTCTAATGACAACATCCTTAGGTTAAAGTCACTCATTGATGATTTGAAATGGACACATGCTTCAATAGGTCTTTATTGGATTTACTTGTTCTAACCAACTTAGCCATTTCACTTATAAACCTTCTACCATATTCATGGCTCTTGGGACACAAATAGATAGGCATCCATCTACTCTCTTCCAAATTTACAACTTTAGGGGGCCAACTAGAGGGGTTGTAACTTTTCTCTTCAATTTTTTTGGCTCTACTAGGCCAACTAGATTAACATGAAGCTAGCATTGTTTATATCAATGTCCCTAGGTTGGTTAGAGTACTGCAAATACTATAACACAAACATGAGTGAGTTGCTATTCTAAGTGTGATAGCTTGATGCTTTTAGAGGCTTGAATTTCTTTATTGTTAGTGAAAAGCAGCCCTTCTTGAGGAAGTGCCTTTCACTATGGAGTGATTAACGATTCTGATTTACTATGATTTAAATCCTCTTGAAATGTAGTTTTATTATTATAAGACTACCAATTTACCTTTCCACCCATTTTTTCATCATCAAAACTACTTAGGCCTCCAAAACTAGAAAAACTAAGAAATAATAAAATTATGGACCCAATAGTTATGATATTAAATTTGGTCCTAATTGAAACCGTTTATTCAAATTCTTAGATGTCTATCACCATCATCGTATTGTTGGCATTTGGGCATTTGTAGAGCCATGAATCTATAATTGTGAGGTAATTTTAGATTACTAATCCATTATATCTGAACCTTTTAGAAAAATATTGATCTACTCATCTTGCACCTCTTTTATAGGTTCTTAATGTTTCAAGTTGGTTTAGACTTTATAGGACCCTTGGCTTGATGGCAAATTAAGCATGGCTCAAGCCTATCCCAACATATTTACACTTACACATTAATTCTTTGTCATAACTATTTTCAATACATAGTTTCTTAATGAAGAATATAATCATAGGTCGTAATGCATTTATTTTTAAATTTTAAACTCAATTATAGATTATCTACATAATATCATGAAGTATTTGTTAAATTATTGAAATTGCACAATAATGTTCTCTTCTTTAGATCCATCACTATTGGATTCTATATAACACTGCCTCACCAAGGGGAGCTGGGTGAATTAGTAATGCTTTAATTCTTCTTGGTCCTTAGGATGTAGATTGTTGGATAAATATTTCACATTCTATTTATATAGTGATCTAGTCACTTGATTGGTACCACTCTTCAAATACTATGCATGGTGTCACTTCCTTCAGTCTCACTGAAGTCTAAGTGAAACACCTGATGAATCATGGGCTTCGTTCATCTTAACACTAGACATAATAGCTGTAGTCTGCTCAAGATCTCACTCCATAATCTTCTTCTACATTTGTAACCCTACGAGATCCACTCATCTCTTTTACATTCATTCTTGTTTTCTAAATTCATAGGTTAAGATTGCAGCAATCCAATGTAGGCTGTTGGAGGAAGGAGGTGTTTGTTGAGGTTCTCTCAAAGTTTTCATCTCATGCTCTGATTTGATGTGAGCAGAAGTCTCTCCTTTTTATAATGAACATATTAGGCCACTTTATACTTTCAACACAATGGGCTATTAGAATGGTCATCCAACTCTATAAATAGACATTAACATTCAAATATATATATATATATATAATAAATAATTGCCTTCAAATTTTTATAAATGATTTATTGCATTGTGTTTCTTTTTCAGCAAGCTTTCTAATGTCTACTCATATTATTATATTATGACACTAATTTTTATAGATATTTCATTCAAGTTCACATACAAATATCGTCTATTATAAGAGATAAGTGAAATTCTCACTTTAGTCAAGCACACTCATTGACTCCTGTCCTGAAGCTAAAGAACTTTTTTCCACACATAGTAATCAAGATCGTCTATATAAGTAATTCTAACATTACAAAGTTACTAAAATAATTCAACCACTTATTTGTTGCTTCTCTCCTTCATCCCTCTTTCTTTCTCTCTCATAATTGGAATCATTTACTTTACATCTAATGTCCTTACTTTATTTCACAACACTTTATTAGGTTTTAATTAATTTAGTTATTAAGATAAAGACTACTAATTATTGAAACATAAATTATCATAAATTTCTAAATTTATTAATTACTTTTATTCAATAAGTGATTAAATTGGGGCTGCTCGTGGTTAGAGTAATCTAGAACTAGTCATGTCTTAGCCTATTTCTCTCACTTGGCAGCACCCATCTCTCTCTCACTCTAAAGGTCTAACTTCCTAACTTGGGCCCCACATGGCCTTCCTCTTCCAAGCCCTAGCCAAGTCTAGGTGTAAAATACTTCCGGCTGGTTTGGCGAGGCCCTTGTCCATCTTGGAGTCCATATTTTCGGGCTTTTTGGGGGCGGGAAATGGGACCGGGCCTTAGTAATAGAGCCAGGGTCGGGCCCGGCCCGGTTAATAACCTTCTTAATCTAATATACATATATATGAAGAGCCGTTAGTCTCCATTGGCCTCCGCGTTCTCGTGGATATCTATTAATTTATTATGTATTGTTCAAGCTTCCTCCCTTCCTCTGCCGTGAGAGGAACGCAGGCGGCGGCACACGCCCTTACGCCTTCGCTTTTTGTTGATCCAATCTGTTGATGGATGGGGTGACGGCGACCCGGTATTAGCTCTGCTAGCTGTTCCTTTCGACCTGGTAGAAGCTAGGGTTCATGAGCTCAACACTCGGGATTGGGCCACAAATCCCTTTTTCTTCGTCTTCTTCTTTGACGTCTTCTTTTGCTTCTTCTTTTGCTTCTTCTTCTTCTTCTTCTTTTGCTTCTTCTCCTTCTATTTTTGCTTCTTCTCCTTCTCTTTTTGCTTCTTCTCCTTCTACTTTTGCTTCTTCTTCTTCCTCGGTATCGGCTTCGCTCCCCGCTGTGGGGGCTCCGGCGGGTTGGGCGACGGGGGATGAGGAACGACGCGCCGAGGATACAGGGAGGAGCGCCACGGACGGGCAAGGGAGGTGGTTTCTTCTCGCTCCGCAGCGTATCGGGCTACCTGAGGATCGTCTCGTCCGGAGCCTCTAGTGTAGCATCAACGGTTAAGTCAGCAGGGGCGTCGGTCGCGTCGTCTATCGTTGAGCGGGAAGACGATCAGGTACCCGTGCACTTTTCCTTCCGGAGTTCAACCCCTGCCAAATTCCGCGCCAATTCCATGAAAACCCTTCTTCGCAAAAGATGACAACGAACAGTGGACTCTGGTCAATTAAAGTATTGAGACCCGGAGAGACATTACTAGGGAGGAGCTCGTTCCAGACCAAGGCGTCTCCCTCCTATATATATATATATAGTAATCCCATTCCGCTTGGTTAATTTCCCAGATTTGTTTACCTTTCTTCCGTTGAAGATGCGATCGATGAAGATTTTGAAGCGCAATTACTTCATGTGGGCGATTGATTGTGTTCAATAGCATTATCCTAGGACGCCAAAGAGTTGGCGGGTTACAGTAAAAATGCTCTGCGTTTCGAATCTTCTCATATACTTCCTCAAAAGAAAACTATCACCCGCATCTGACCAGTCGATTTTAGTTCATTGAATTTTTTTTTCATTGAAAGATTTACTAAAATTTGGGCTTGATAGGTTTCTTTTTATTGAATATTTTTGAATTTTTGGAGCGCCAGAATGACAAGTGTGAGCTTTCAGCCATCCTAAGCATGAAAAAAAAATGGTTCTTTACCCACAGGTGCGTTGGATCATTTCTTTCAGGTCCAGTGGGCTGGATTCGACAAGCTAGAAGCCGAGGGTGGCATTCTTCGGCAGGTTTTGCTGCTGGGCTATAGCTCTGGGTTTCAGGTCTGGGATGTGGAAGAGGCGGATGATGTGCATCAGCTGGTATCCAGACATGACGGCCCAGTTTCATTCCTGCAAATGCAGAGAAGGCCAGCATCAGCCATGCGGTATGAGGATAGGTTTGCTGATGCCCATCCATTGCTGGCCATTGCTGGTGACAGTTCCCTTCCTGGGGGCAGCAGAAACAGTGAACATCATCAGAAGTTGACGGATGGCAGCCCTGCTGCTTCCAGCTCTGTCCATTTTTATTCCTTGAAGGCCCATGCCTATGTCCATAGCCTGGATTTCGCATCGGCCGTCTACACTATCCGCTGCAGCCCACGTGTTGTGGCTGTTTCTCAGGCCAATCAGGTGGGCATGGACATAACTCTCTGTGGGTTTGTAATTGCTTCACTATGACCTCTTATGCCAATTCTCATTCTGCAGATTCATTGCTTTGATGCTGCAACCCTGGAGAGGGAATACACTATCCTCACTTACCCAGTGGCTTCAAGGCCCATTATCTCGGGAAGCGTGGCATATGGACCTCTTGCAGTGGGTACCAGGTGGCTAGCATACAGTGGCAGCCCAGTTCTGGTTCCAGACAGTGGTCGTGTGAGCCCAGAACATCTGGCTCCTTCAACAAGCCTGCCGAGCTCGTCAAATGGGAGCCTTGTCGCACACTATGCAAAAGAATCCAGGAAGCAGGTGGTCTCGGGTTTAGTGACGCTTGGAGACATTGGCTACAAGAAATTGTCCAAGTACTGCTCAGAGCTCCTGCCTGATGGCAGCAGTGGTGAACGAGGGACTCTAAAGCTGAAGACAAATGGCTCGATCGATGGATATTTTCAAGACGACAATAGTTCTGGAATGGTGATAGTTTGCTCACTATGTCTGTCTGATGCCTCCTTAATATTGCAGTCACCTTACTATTATTTTCTTATCAGCTTGTTCAAGATTTATTTCTTATTAATACACGCAGGTTATTGTCCGAGATCTTCTTTCAAAATCTGTCGTGGTGCAGTTTAGAGCGCATACGAATCCGATTGCTGCACTATGCTTCGATCCAAGTGGGACTCTACTATTAACCGCTTCTGTTCTTGGCCACAACATGAACGTCTTCTGCATTGTGTCCCCTTTTCATGGAGGATCGACCGGATCTGAGAAGGGGGTCTTTTCGTATATGCATCTATACAAGTTGCAGCGCGGGGTGACCAATGCGGTAGAGGCTGCACCCTTGATTCCTTCTGATTTAATGTTGTAGGATGGTTCTTTCTCCGAGAAGAAAGCATTTATGGCGCATTGTTTCTCTTTGGCTTCAGGTTATACACGACATTAGCTTCAGCAGTGACAGCCAGTGGATCATGATCAGCTCCTCACGTGGAACCAGCCATCTTTTTGCCATTCCACCGTCGGAAAGTGCCACAGATCCTGGTGTGAGTGGCACTGGTGGTTTGGGCCCATTGGCAAGAACAGCAGCTCCATATCCAAACAGTTCTGGCCGCTCCCTTCCTGTCACACTATCAGTTGTGAGCAGAATAAGGAATGGAAGTAATTGGTGGAGAAGCGCTGTGAATGGTGCGGCTGCAGCAGCTACTGGGAGGATCAGCCCATTCTCTGGTGCCATTGCTTCAGCTTTCCACAATTGCAGTGGTGTTGATGATCACCCAGAACCCAGCTCGCTGAGGAAGAACCATCATCTGCTGGTATTTTCGCCTTCGGGTTGTGTGGTACAGTATGTGCTGTCTCACATGGCTAATGGGGATATCTCTAGACCAGACACGGCCATCTACGAGCCTACCCAGGGGTCTGGTGCTGTATTAGTCGTCGAGGCAACCCAAAAATGGGATATCTGTCATAAGCAGAATAGAAGAGATAGAGGCGATAACGTGGACATATATGGTGATCATGGCAGTGGAGGCAGTGCTAAACCTGTTCATAAAGTTATGAGAAAAGGGGCCGGTGAGGCTGCTAAGCCGGTCCTTGCTGCTGAAGAAAGGCAGCATTTGTATATCTCTGAGGTTGAGTTGTGTACTCATGCAGCTAAGACTCCTCTCTGGGTGAAATCCGAGGTAATCGCCTGAAGCATCTGGATATGCACCCCTGCTGCACTGCTTCTTCTTCTGACCCTGTGAAGTTCTTGACAGATCTCCTTCCATGCTTGGGTGGAATTCGACATGTCACTGTATGTGGATGGTCTTTCTGGGGGGGAGATTGGTGTAGAACAGATCCCATCTCGTGCGATTGAGGCCAGGGCAAAGGGTCTGATACCGGTCTTTGAGTCTCTCCAAATGCACAGGTTCCAACCACTGATTACCCATGAAAGCTCGTTTTCGTTTTCATCTGCAAGCTGTTTCCTTTTTCCACTGAGACACACTTGCCTTCTATTTTTAGTCCAGTTGTTACTTTTTTGCAAGCAGAGAAAGTCAAACTAGGGTCAAAATTCGTTTTTTTCCCCCCAAAATGAAGAAGCAAAGTGGACTAATCTTTGATACCACAGGGTTATTTTTGCGGCGGTCTTTTGACTTTTTCTTAGGATGGCCGTGTTAGACATCCATACACTGACTAATGGTAATTAGAGGGGGCTGCCATACACCAGTGGAGACGAAAAAGGAAAGGCGTTGACCTTGCCAAGATATAATTGACCGCAGAGATGATGCCAAGTTACAGGGGAAAAAAGGAAAAAGAAAGTAGGTCTTAAGAGAGCTCAAGGATTAGATGGAAGAAGAAAAAATGGACGTGGTGGTGCATACCTGAAAAACGTACAAGGAATCTGAGAAATTTCTACTGTAGGATTTGCCCAAAAGAGGGTGAGGCGAGGAAGAAATTCACAAGATCCTGCATATATTAGATGCGATGGAAATAAGGAAGAAAATGTGTAGAAGTTTCATTGAATGAAAGACTTGGGGCGTTGACCTTTTGCCTTTGACCTTGGGCCTTTGTATTTGTGATGGAAATCTTGGTATTTGAGTAGTTGGAAAGAAAGGAACGTGGTGATGACCATTTCGTCTATGTATGTTCCCTAGTTACTCATGAAATAACTACAAAGTAATGATGAATAATACATGGGAAATATAGGGGATAAAGTCAATGACAAGTAGCTGGAAGCTGGATGACGATGGTGATGATAATAGCCATGGTTTGACCTTGAAAAAATTGTCTATATTTCTTTCCCACGTTCATGACGATCAGTTCAAAAATTATCTTCCTTTAAAGAGAAAATCATTTTTTTTTATTACAGCATGATTTTAAGAACATGAGCGCAGGTCAAAGGCAAAGTCCATTTTTTTTAGGTTGTTCTTTCTATTGTGCTACTGTTCTTGTTCTGATTAATTTTTGCGATGGGTTATTATTATTAAATGATGTATATTTTCCGGGTAAATAGCCGATTTTCATTTTATTTCTTCACCTTGGTTCATGTATGTTTATCTGCAGATGACCATACATCATGGGGCGTTGACTGCTATTCTTTCTTCTCCAGCTGTTCTCTGACCTTGTACAGGCTGCTGCTGGGTATTTATTTATTCCGGGATGTGCATTTGTGTATAGTTCGGATTGATGATTAAATTCGAAGTAATAAATATGCCGTGTAAATAGTAATTTCTCCATGTTCTCTGGTCTCGTGATCATCTAATAATCCTTGTATCTTATTTCTCTCTCTCTCTCTTTCTCTCTCTTCCCCTTCATCTCTGTCTCTCTCTGCCGTACTCTCTCTCTTTCTCTCTCTCTATCTCTCTTTCCCTTCATCTCTGTGTGTCTCTCTGCCTTTCTCTCTCTGTCTCTATCTCTCTCTTTCCCTTCATCTCTGTGTGTCTCTCTGCCTTTCTCTCTCTGTCTCTATCTCTCTCTTTCCCTTCATCTCTGTGTCTCTCTGCCTTTCTCTTTCTCTCTCTCTCTCTCTCTATCTCTCTCTTTCCCTTCATCTCTGTGTCTCTCTCTGCCTTTCTCTCTCGCACTTTCTCTCTCTCTCTCGCACTTTCTCTCTCACCCTCTCTCTAGCTGTTTGCTCTTTATCTCTCTCTCTCTCGCTCTCTCTTTCTCCGACAAATTGACGAGGCGAAAGATTAGCGGGTTTCCAAGGCGGCGTCGCATGGAGTTTGGAGTCAGCAAAGCGAGGATTCAGAAGGAGTTGGGCGGGGAAGGCGAGGAGAAGCGGCTCCACGGCGTATCGCTCTCTTCCCCGGCCGCTCCGTTGCTGGGAGGCGTGAGTCCCCGGCCGACCCCGTCCCTCCCGCCAGAGCCTCGGCGGCGCTCCCCGCCGCCGCCGGAGTTGCAGAGCAACTCCTTCTCCAGGTGCAGGCAGTAGCCCTCGAAGGCCCTCGCCCCCACCGTCACCCCAAAGTCCAGCAGGAACAGCAGCTCCAGCTCCAGCCTGTTCAGCTCCGCCGTGCTCACTCCCCCCACTTTCGCGTAGAACGCGTTGCTGTGGTGCCTGCACATCGCCACTACCGCCGTAAGCACAAGAAAGAGGGCCGGCAAAGAGAAGATTGGGAGCGCTTGCTTACACGTCGTCGAGGACCTTGGAGGCGACGAGGAGAGAGGCGAGGAGGAGGCGGTGGACGTTGACGGAGAGGAGCAGGGAGGAGGGGTGGCGGTGGGCGAGGCGGTCCATGTAGGCGAAGCCCACAACGAAGCAGGAGGGGCTGCAGTCCGAGTACTGGTACAGCCGCTCCAGGTACCTCCCCACGCTGATGCTCGGCACCCTCGCCGCCCGGAACACGTCCAGAGCCCCTCTTGCCGCCGGTTTTGTTCTCCGCCGCCGCTCCTCCTCCAGCGCAGCCGCCAGCTCGTCGTTCCGCGCCACCAGCCGCTCGAGCGCGACGGTCAGCGCCACGAGAACCCTCGGCGTCGCCGCCGGGCCGACGGCGTCCTCGCCGCCGCTCGCTATAGGCATCGCCAGCTGTGGGTCGCCGCCACCGTTTCCTCTCCCATTCTCTCTCTCTCTCTCTCGCTAGATATCTGTGTGGGCTCTTCTTCCGGGTGGGGGTTCTCTATCCGTCCGCAGTGGGCAGGAGGGCCGACTCAGTCCACCTGTGGGTTATCTGAGAGTCCAGTCCACGTTTTTAAAGGATTCCTTCCTGCCAGGGCGAAGACATAGTGGCCACGCGGTGACGGATAGTGAGAGAGAGAGAGATCCAAGGATTTCTTCTTCGAGGCGGGGAGGGGGGGCGGAGATAGAGAAATAGCGAGAGAGAGAGAGAGAGAGAAAGAGGGGGAGAGGTGAGAGACAGGAGAGTTAGAGAGAGAGTGGACTGAGGTAGAGAGAGACAGAAGTTTTAGGAGGATTTTTTCCAGGCAGGGGAGAGAGAGAGAGAGACGCACACACACAGACAGATAGAGAAAGATACGTTTTAGAAGGATTTCTTCGAGGCAGGGGAGAGAGATAGAGAGAGAGAGAGAGAGAGTCAAAATCGAGCTAAACTGGTGGTAAATCAAACTTAAATCGGTGACCCTGAAACTTAATGAAGGTTTTCTGTGGGGGACCATTCGAGAGCTTCTTTCCTTCTTTTGATCATTCCCGCCGGAGGAGCAGCCCAGACCGCCGGCCATCCCGCCTTCCCTTCCGGCGAAGCTTCGAAAGACATGCTGCCGTCTTCGTTCACCAGGCTCGCCGGCAAGGCCAACTTCCTTCTTCTGGTCTCCTCCCTCTTCCTCTTCATCTCCGTCTTCATTCTCATCCTCCCCCGCCCTTCTCCCTGTCCATCCCCCGGCTTCCTCTCCGACACTCTTCCGCTCCGCCACACCGGCGGCGTCGGCGATGGTTCCGGCGCGGCACCGACGGCGGTGCGGCACCTCGTCTTCGGCCTCGCTTCCTCCGCCCGGTCCTTCCCTCACCGCCGCCGGTACATCCGCTCCTGGTGGGATACCTCCCGCATGAGGGGCTTCGTCTTCCTCGATTCCCCCCTTTCCGTGGAGGACGCGACCGCGAACGTGAACGCGAACGTGAACGCGAGCGAGCCGCCAATCCGCATCTCCGCCGACGTCTCCGGGCTTCCGTACACCTTCCCCGGCGGCGGCCTGCGGTCGGCCGTACGCGTGGCGCGCGTGGCGAGAGAGCTCGTCGGCGCAGCCGAGGGCATGGAAGGGGTGCGGTGGGTGGTGCTTGGGGACGACGACACCGTCTTTTTCCCGGAGAATCTGGCGGCGACGCTTCGGAGGCACGACTGGGAGCAGTGGCACTACGTCGGGAGCAGCTCCGAAGCCGTGGTGCAGAACGAGAAGTATTCCTTCGACATGGCCTTCGGCGGCGGCGGATTCGCCTTGAGCTGGCCGCTGGCGAGGGCGCTGGCCCGCGTTCTGGACTCTTGCCTGGTACGTTACGCCCACCTCTACGGCAGTGATGCGAGGATCTTCTCATGCCTGGCGGAGCTCGGCGTGGGGCTGACGCGGGATCTCGGCTTCCATCAGGTCGCAGAAATCTATTCCTAGAAAACTATCTCCACATGTTCATCTCTCTTCATCTCGTTCCCTGCTTTTCACAAGAACTTGATGAGAATTCACCATCGTTTCTCCAAATCCATTTTTCTTCCTCTTGTAAAAAAAACACGAGCATAAGGATTTGATCATTATTTGAGATACGAGCATTAATTTTCTAGTCCCAATACTTTGTGACACTGTCGTATCATGTGGTTATAATTCATTATAGTACACACTGCTTATTACCCATTGGTTTTTGATTTCGATGAACTGACTCTTCAACATAGCCTCGCAACTCAAGGGTTCATCCTCAGTTCTAGCTTCATTTTCGTAGCTAGCTACCATAACTAAAATACAATAACTTAGCATAACATTTCTATCCTGTACTGTATGAAATTTTCGGCTCCTGGAGATAGAACCGACGAACATATGCCATTCATGACCCATTGGTTTTAGGTTGGTTGAACTGTTTCTTTCAGGAGGTTATCCCTAATCTTTGGTTTACTGTTGCTTGTGACTTCATTGGCTTGTGTAGAATTATTTCAAATTGAATGAGACTTGTAAAAACATAGTTAGATCATTATTCATATAGCAAGCATAATTGTCTCATCCCACCATTGTGCGGAACTATTTAGTCCTATTGTTAAAACTTATGCAAGTGCACTACACATTACCCAGTAGTTTTAAGTTACATGAACTGGTTCTCTGTCACGACATCATAACCTAGAGCTCGTCCTCTGTCGTGAGGTCATTTGCATTGGAAGAATAGTCCCACATTGAATGACGAGTGTTAAATACTATAATAAAAGTATAAGAGGGAAAGCGATCTAATTCCTTTATATACTCTTTCTATTTTATATTTAATGCATGATCAGAAGAATCAGCTTCGGGTACATCTCAGAACATTACTTAAAGTTTCATTCTATTTTGAGTTTAGCAAATGAGACGAATGAAATCTCTTCTTCCAGGTTCTCATTTGACCTCTTCTCAGTGTTGTTCTCTTATTTAAGTTGCGCCATACATTCCATTGAGTATAGACCTTTCTATTTTTTGCCGAATTATGGAACAAATGGGGTAAATAAATTCCTCTTTTCAGGAAATGTTTTCCTGAACTGTGTTTTTTTCTTGGATCATGGGTTAGGTTGATCTCCGTGGTGATATCTTCGGAATGTTGACTGCCCATCCTCTGACGCCTCTGGTATCACTTCACCACTTGGATAACGTGGAGCCCATCTTTCCTGGTATGGATAGGGTACAAGCGCTAGAGCACCTATTCACAGCTGTGGCAGCTGATCCAGGAAGAATTCTTCAGCAAACAGTTTGCTACGACCGGTTGGCATTGCAGACAGTGTCTATATCATGGGGTTATGCAGTTCAAGTCTTCAGTGGAAATCATCTTCTTCGTGACGTTCTTACCTGGCAGAAGACATTTATGCCATGGAAAAGAGGCCGTAGTGCTTCTTCCAGTCATTATATGTTCAACACGAGGGCATTTCCCAAGGATCCCTGTGCAAGGCCTGCCATTTTCTTCCTAGAAGGTGTAGCTTTTGGTGTGGATGAAATATACACCAATTATAGCAGGCACACCACAGAAAGCTGCCTTGGAAACAGGACATCAATGAATTTGAAGAGAATCAAGGTTTCCTCTCGGTTTCTCTTTCTTGGGAGTGGTCAGGTGATGAACTGGTCTTTTTCTCTATCATTCTGTCGATTCCCAGCTTGTGGTTGTCCTTTTGCTTCTAAAAATAGATAATGATATGGTGCCAAGTAGGAAAGAAATATGAAGAGAGATGAACATATGAGGAAATGAACAATTAGTTTCGAAGGAGAAGCCCTATATGATACCAAGCTTGTGTAGAACTATTGTGTGCTCCCTACCTCTTCAATCTTGAGTAAAGTTACCAATTAAAAGTAATTGAAGCCTATGCTGTCTACTGAAAGCTCTACCATCTGAAGGTTCAGGTTATTTCATTCATTCCAGGTGTTCCAATGCACGGCTTAATTTGGGAGGTCCTTTTTTCAGTTGTTTCTTGTATTCTTATGTGGATTCTGATTTCATTTGTTGGATATTTTCAGTTGGTAGCTCCAAGACGCCACTGCTGTGACATCTTGCCTTCATCTGGCGAAGTGATGGAGATAAAGATCAGAGAATGTGGAGATGAGCTAATTGCTATGTTGCCCATGGTGGGAAATTGATAATATTTTTTCTGAGTTGCAGAAACATGCTCGGAAGGTCAGAAGACTTTGAATAACCATGGTAGATGATATTAATGCCTGGGTATTATTTTATTTCTCTTCGTTTAGTGCAGCCTGTTCTTCCTGTCGTCATTTCTCTATCACAGGTTATAGTGTGCATTTTTTTTCTTATTATATTTTAAGAGGATTAATTTTGGCAATCAGAATGGAAACTAGTCTAGTTGTTTTTATGATGCCATGCATGATTTTGTTCATTGTTACCATTAAATTATGATGTCTTTTTTTTGGGATAACAATACTTTGTATATGATGTTATTGTTTAATCTGCCCGGAATATGGCTGGAAACCTAAACCTATTGCTACAAAGGCAGCAGAATATAGAACGAAGGCTCATTATGCACGTTTTTACCATTTCTCTATTACTGACTTATCTGAGCATAGTTTTATAATTTTACCATTTATGCATGAGCATAAACATGATGAATTGTTTCTAAAAAATCGATAACTATTTGTTATTTCTATTATTTTGAATATTTCGAAAACTACATTGAGGGGTTTTACGAGTTTTGCTCCACTCACCTGATGGTTTGACTTCTTCATTGGCTTTAGTTAACACCTACGATCATGTTTGTTGTCACCATAATCACCAACCTTATTTCAGAAAAGCATATCTTCCATTTGAATCAAATGGAAAACTTATGATCTGTCAAACCTTTAATGCTGATCCATAATTGGCATCAACTATTATCTTACATGGTCATCATTTTCGTCATTCTTAGTTCTTTTACGATAAAGGGCCCGTGATATGAAGGTCTCTTGGAGCCATTATCTGTCATTTGTATGAGAAAGCCCTTGGAACTCACCTTCAAGTGCTTATTAGTCGGCGACTTCTTCATGCAAGCCTCCTCTCAGTGGATTCAAGCCAAGGGATCCTCTCTCCTTCAAGCTTTTATTCGCAAACCACTGATGGAGATCATCATTCACGACACAAAGGTATGCTACTACCTTAATTGGATTTTCTTTCTATAGTAGATTGATCTGGCCTTGAAGCTCTAATTAGTCTTGTCCACATGAGGGTTGCTCGCTGGTTAATGACCCCTTCTTTATTTAAAGATAGTCCCATACCCTTTTTGTCTAAATATTGGTTCATGTCCCATATGTGTCTATATATGCATATTTTTGCGTGTTATAAGAATTCTTGTGGATTTTATGTTTGTGATGTCTTGAACAAGGAGACCCTTAAGAGGTCCATTAGGTGAGTGATGATTTGGAGCATGAGGATGATATCAGTCATTCATTTCATAATTAAGATTTGCTTAGTGGTTGCCAAAAGGAGCTAATTCAGGGTGAGAAAAGGGAGGCTGGCGTTGGGTCTGTTGGTCTCTATTGCTATTTTCTTTATTGGATTCCATGCATAATGAATTACAAAATCAAGAAAATATATACGGAAGAGATGTAAGTTCACTAAGAAACTCTAGAAGAGTCCAAATCTGAAGATGGATTTTGTATTTTATATTTGCATGGAATGGTCACTTATATCACTAAAGTATTAAACACTTTATTGTTATATGATTAATCAGAGTCATAGTAATACAGTTTTATCACCCATTCTACTAATTTTTTTGTAGCCTGCAGCTTCACTTATGAAAGAGGGCCGCATTATGTTATATAGTCCAATATATTGTTGAATGTTTATGATGAGGACATGCAGTGCTTAATCTTGCCTTCACTAGAGTATGACTTAGATTACTGAAATGTGGCAGGGGCCTTTACGAACGCTTTTATCAGAATCTGGCTAAAGAGAATACATAATTCATATTTTGGTTAATGTGTCTTCTATAGATGTAAATAACCAGCGACAATTTTGTTGGTTGGAAATTATCATTTTCTGTAAGTTTATTGTGGATTAAAGAGGGGCATACTAATATGGAACTTTTCATATGTTTATAATCCAGAACTTAGAAGGTACATAAATCATGTCAGATCAAGTTACTGCCAGTGCTTGGAGTCAACAAATCCTATATGACCAATTAATGATATATGCAAAGCAAAATACCAACAAAATTATACTTATTATTATCTTTGCCAACATCAAAATATTTAAGACATTGAAAATGCCAACATGTACTTTGTCCTGAATCTTTCTATCACTATCTTGGTTCTACTCCGGAAAATGTAACTTCATTGATAGATTGACCGCTTGGCCGATATATGCTTTGATTAGAATTATGTCGCTCTGAAGATTGATAATCTGTGTCTATTCTGGATTCCTCCGATTGGCTCCTCATGCTTGAATTTAGAACGAATGCAGGCTTTGACGGAGCAAGAAGAGTCACAGAGAAGCTGCTAAGCATGAGGGCCACCTCAGACATATTTGGCCTGTCTGATGGGTCGCTTTGGATGCACAACAAGCCCATGTGGATGCATCGTATGACTTCATGCCTCGGACATTGGTCAGCTATGCTTTGATCCACCACTTCTAGAGTTGTCCCCTCATTCCAATGATGCCATACCTGCCAGTATATAACATGAAATCTTTGATATTTATCCATATTCATGCTTCTATCTAAATGCTTCTATCTTAGTCATCACATTCATGGAAACATCTTAGTTAATATGATCCATTTGAGGAAATACTTACATAGCTCACAAGATCAATTGGATTTTCCGAATCACATGACACAATGTTGTTCCTTTGACCCGTTACTATCTCAAGAGTTAGAATGCCAAAGCTAAACACATCCAACTTTGGTGAGAAGTGACCGCGTATCACATACTCTGGTGCCATGTAGCCGCTGCATGCAGAATTGGAAAATTAGTATAATTTTTGAAATCATACTGAAGAACAATATGATAACCCCAATAAACTGGCTAGTAGAGATTCAGCGCAGGAGAGATATACTGAGTGCCTGCGATCCGACTAGTGTTCCGATGGGTCTCATCCATGCCGAAGAGCTTGGCGAGGCCAAAGTCAGAGATCTTTGGGTTCATGTTCTCATCTAGCAACACATTGCTGGCCTTTAGGTCTCGATGAATGACTCTCAGCCTCGAGTCTTCGTGAAGATAGACAAGCCCTCTAGCAATTCCTTCTATAAGCTTGTATCTCCTCTCCCAGTCTAGAACGTGGCGCTTGATAGGATCTACCATGAACATGTAGAAAACGTGATTAGGATCATCAGATGTGGGTAGATCACTTTGAAAAAAGCCCATGTCTATCTAGTTCAAGTTGGCAAAGGATACAAAGCCCATATTAGATGAAATAGAACGTGCAATGGAGCAGGGGTCAGGACTTGCAAGAAACTACGACAGAAAATAATATTCATATTTTCCTATTTAATAATGTGATTAAATAGAAAATAAATCATGAAAGAGGAAGTTTAGGAGGCCTAAGTACCAAATAGGAAATTGTCGAGGCTTCTATTAGGCAAGTACTCATAGATCACCATCTTCTCCTCCTCTTCCAAGCAAAATCCTAACAGCCTGACAAGATTCCTGTGCTGAAGCTTGGCGACCAAGACGACCTCGTTTCTCAGTTCAGCCAAGCCCTGCCCGGAACGTTTAGATAGTCTTTTCACCGCTATTTGTTGCCCATCTGGTAAAAGTCCCTGTGTAGAATCAAGAACTTTGCATTAGTGGAATATTTAAAATAAATATTGAAAATATGATGTATTTCTCACACTAGTGAAATATTACCTTGTAAACTGGACCAAATCCGCCTTCTCCAAGCTTATTAGCTTCAGAGAAGTTTCTGGTGGCAATTTTAAGCGTTCGAAAGTCAAAAAGTAGAGATTCTGCTGTTATAACCTCCTGATCTTTGACAAGATCTGAGGAGAGAAATCAGAACTATTTAGAAAAATATCGAATATTTTTTTATGGATATTATTGACATTTCATATCGTGGAAGACTCACTAAGTGGCAACCCTTTTGGAATCCTTCTTCTGAAATGAATCAGCAGGACAAGGAGGAGAACTATCACAGCAACCAATAATAGGATCACGATGATCATGATGATTCTCCACGATTTGCAAGTGTTTTCTGTCCCATATAGAAAAGACCCACGAGATAAATTATATATGAAAATAAAAATATATTAATCGTAACTAAATAAAGATGCATATGAAATCATCGTAATCATCATCATCGTGTTAGAAAAACATTGGAGCTTCTCCAGCAATAAATAATTGCCATTGAGCACAAGCCAAAAGATGGGTATGGTTAAAGTATGGTCCTATCTATAGGATATATTGCTTTCTTTATTTAGTATTTTATGGAGACCCGATATCGATTTCTTAAGCAGGCTTCTTCATTGCATCTTTGTCAACTACTTTATTGCATATCATGCTATTTTTCACCTGCAGGGTCAATAAAGTGGTTGACCTGAATAAAAAGAAGATTTACCGAAATAGAAGAATGTTGATTATTAACTTCGGTATGGTGCATGCTTTTCAAAAAGTGCCAGGAGCTGGATAAGACCATGCATATTTCAAAAAATAGAATAATATAATTTTGGAATTTCATTTCGAGGAGGCTTAAGTCAACGCGTGATACCACCTAATGATGGTCGTTCATATACTTTCCCAAAAGAAGCAAGAAGTCAAACGTGGAGGATTGGTCAGACTAAAGCGGCGACTTAACAGATTATCAGCTCGGTATACTGCATGCTTGGTCAAGAACTGCTAGGAGCTAGATATGAGGCACACATATTTTCCGAAATAGAATAATATGATTATTTTTAATTCCATTTCGGGGGGTCTTGGCCAATGAGTGGTACGACCTAATGACAAGTGTTCAAAGACATGGTGCAAGCGATAGGAATTCATACGCGGCCGTATTTGTCAACTTGATTAAAGTCCTGATCTTGACCTGAAGGGACCAGATGAACGGACGACCGAAGGACTGCCGGACAATCAAATCGAAAAGGAGTGCCTTAATTCGCGCGTCACCTTTGCCGCCCGAGCTCACGCCGGCGTCGTTGCCGGGGGACCGAAGGCTCCGATTCTGCAGAGGCGGGGGCGGAGAGATGGCCAAAGTCGCGAAGAAGATGCTGGTTTCGAACCTCACCGAGCAGCTCGCAACGTGGATCTGAGCCCCGATCTTCCCCCTGGGCAGGATGCTGATCTGACCCTGAAGACACTGGCTGCACTCGGATTCTGACAGGTCATGAGTGCACTGGACTAATCCGTAGATACCTGAGGAATCAGAATTGTTGATCCCCACGGCGAACTTGGAACTCGCCGCTGCCGCCTGAGAGGAAATCTCCGCCATGAGATCCATCAGCCGGTGGTCGAATGCCAGCGGGTCGGGCGCACCTTTGGAGTTCACCAGGGAGCTCCTTTCTGTATCGTCCATGTTTCCAAAGAATTTCTGGTCGGAGAAGCGGAGGAGGCAGTAGTCGAAGCGAACGGCGGCGCGCCGACGGAGAGGGCACCGGAGGACCGCCGCCGAGGCCGAACGGTTGAGACAGAAGGCGCAGTCGGCGGCGAGGACGTCCCCGCGGCACTGGACCAGGCCGTAGACGGCATCGGGGTCGGTCCAGTAGCCGACGGAGGCGTTGAGGAAGTGGCCCCCGCCGGCACTGGCGGGCACAGCGCTGAGGTTGCTGAGGAGGAGGTCGAGGTTCGCCTTGTACTCGCTACCGGCGGTGTAGTTGGTGTAGCCGGAGCACCAGAGGTAGATGGGATCCTTCTGCGAGTGACCGAGCGGCGCGGACAGGATGTTGAGAAGGGCTAGCATGGAAAGAACGGTGAGCTTGCCGGCTGGCCCGCTGAAGGGAAGAAGCCTCTCCATGGTTTTCTTCTTCTCCGAGGTGGGGGTGCTGGGTGGGGGGGGGGGGGCGGGGCGAAGAGGAGAGGAAACGCTGCTTAAGTCCGGTGCTGTGGGGCGGCCGCCGATATTGAATGCACAGCTTCTCAGGATCCAAAGTCACATGGGCACTTGGGGGTATTCACTCGTCGCCGTGTTGAACAGAGTTAATCCTATTCCATCATTAAAGAACTTATAATTTGATGCGGAAAAGCATTCGCCACATTTCCGATGGACTCTGCCCTCGGCAACAAAGAAACAGACTCATGGAGAGAGAGAGAGAGAGAGGGAGAGAGCGAGAGAGCGAGAGAGAGAGAGAGCGAGGGAGAGCGAGAGAGAGAGATGTTGTAGGTTTTTTTTTTAAAATTGACGTTATTTATGATGAACTGAATTAAGAGATTAAAATAAAAGCATGCACTATTTTTCCAATGACACTCTGGCAGAGAATTAAAGTGGTTACAGATAATAGAAAGTACCCGTGCTATTCTTAAGGGGGGATAACTTGTAAAATAATTGAATTATCGATAAGCTTCCATATTCTTTAGTTTCACTTTCAAGTCCCTTAAAATCAGCATATTTTAATTTTTAGTGCCTTTTTTAGTTAATCACACATAATCTAGACTTTCGTATAAAAGGACCAATTACCCTGATAACTAGTAATAAGCTAACAGTTGGCTTCTACTATATTTAGACAAAAAGACCAAAGATAATTACGAGTTTTTTGGGGATCTAAAAGTCAACTAAAAATTTTAAGGGGGCTATTAATTCAGCTAATCTTGGAAATAAATGTTGATTATGACGGATCTACAGTGCTTCTGTTCTTCTCTGGTGGGTTTTTCCTAAAACGAAAACATAAATATATGGATACAAGATATAGGTTAGTAGAAGCCAATGGGATGAAGAAAGAGAACTTCCTGTATATTAGTATAATAAATGTAGGTCCTGGTGAAAATCAAAGAGAAGCAAACATATTAGTCAAAAGAGGGGGCAATGTTCTACAATATAAACAATATGAAACTGTTATATGGAATATAAGTATGTTCCTAAATCAGATTGTCACTTAGCTTCGTTGAAAGAAAGGTAACGGGTATATTTTTCATATATACATTTGTACATGTGAATTGGAAGATTCCCAAAATGAATGAATTGCAAGATTTTTTATTTGATGGAATAATGTTTTCAAAAAAAATTATATTGTAATTCATAGATTCCACTCATTTTGACCTTTTAAATATTCAGAGAAATTTCTTGAGATAAAGCTGTGAAGGAATTCTCTTGGTTTATTTATCATGTGGATCAAATTTATAATGGTTGTGGAGGTTGAAGAACCCAGTATACAAAGATCTCCTCATGAAAACATAATTTATGGTAGTTACTGAACCTTTCAGTGGATGCAAATAGGTTTTTCAGAGATTATTAAAATTGGTTTATAAATTATAGATAGATTTTAATCTTTCATTGATGATTAGGAACTTTGCATGAGACAATGTACAGCTTCGTAGTTATGAACTCCCCATGTGTCTGCTGTAGCCTTCTTTGTTTGTGATCCCTTCATGGAAGCCTCTCACATTGGTGGTTTGAATGAACCTAGGGGAAAGTTACTCTTGTGGTCTGTAATGGGTGGTGGCAGGGAAAGCACTGTTGGCGTTTGACACCTATTTGACAATTGGGTGACAAGTCCACACCACTAGGCAGGAGGATGGGAATCAATGGAAAGAGGAAGGCCTGCAGAGGCAACCTAATGTTTCTTGTAAAATCTAGAAATTTATATACCAAGAGGGAGTTTACATATTCAAACCTGATGTAAAATCATATACACAATTGATGTCTGGTAAGATGCATTCACCTATTGAGTTTACATACCTAGTCTACATCAACACATTGAGTCAATCTATAGGTTGATACTAAAATCTGATGTCTTGGACAAATTTATTGCTGTTTAGATTTCCTTTGCTTATCTTGACTGTCCAAGGGTACCTAGCATTTGTTCCCACTATTCTCCTTGAGGGAAATATAGAGAAATGCCACAAGAATAGTAGATCCCTTACAAAATAATTTTCAAGTGTCAATCACCTCACACTCAACATGATATTAGCTTGCCTTTTTTTACCATTGTTGCAAACAGTCTTCAAAAAGCCTTCAACTTTGAAATAAACTCCTATGAACTTACAATGAGGTTTTGATTCTGAAATAACTTGTTGCAACTTGAGTATTGGAGGAAGCTTGAGCATGGAAAAGATTTTCATGATTTTCTAAATAGTTTTGAAGATGTATAGAAAAACATAATCTACCAATAAGGTGCTGTTTGTCTTGGATGTATGGTCACACAGATAAAGAAGTCAATTGATGCAATTTATATGTTCATTTCTTTTGATCCTAAATTTTCTTGGGTATCATAGATCTAAATTTTAATGATGCCAAGATTTTTATAATGGTTCCTATTAGAATATTAAATCATTTTGATGATGATAAACACAAATAAGATGAATTAAAAACTTGAATTCTACTTAATGATCTGAAATTGATTCATAGATAAATATGCTTTATGCATGATCTTGAAGTTAGAAGAACATAAAATCGATAAATACTGAAAGCAATAATGAAAAATATGGAAAGAAGAATTCAAGAAATGCATGTGACTCTCATGATTTTGAATTCAAAAATTTCACATATGTTTCTGCAGGAAATTAATAGTTTGTATATTTCTGTGAAAACTAACAATCTTTATGAAAACCACCATTGTGGGAAAGTAATTTTATGAAGGTTAGTGGGAGTAATTTTTTTCTATTCATTTTGATACGAAGTGTTGCTTTTCCCTAAAATTTTCATACGATTTATGATACTTTTGAACTACTCATGAATAGAGAATATTTATATTTATGAACTAGATTTATCCTTGTATCCCTCTACAAAAGTGTTATGTCATATATAACTTTATCTAAAATTTGTTTCTGTGTCACAACTCAAGATCATATTTTACAAATTTGAATCTAAATAAAAAATGAATAAATTATTTGTTCTAGTATTCAAGGATCAATTCTTCTTTTCTGATCATCTAATGCATCCTCAAAAGTTCATGAATAATATTTTCCTACAGCTGATAATGGACCAAAGTAAAGATTTTCATTTTTGTCTTCAACCCACAATGAAATATCTCCTAGGTTTTAAAGCTGCACTTAGATCATGAATGACAAGGTGGAACTGATCATATTCTAACTTTGACTTTGGTTGACTATTATAATCCTCTTTCTTCCCCTCTTCTAATTCCTTAACCATTCAGATTTCAAGGATTTAAATTAAAGACTCATGATTCCATCATGGTTTGACCCTTCATCAACATCCACTCTCCAAGTATGCCCCATTCTTCAGTTCCACTAAACATCCATTTGATAAGAACTACTATTTACTTTGCTTAATGCCCAGGAGTTTCTCACTCAAATTTGCACACTAGATTCATAGCTCTAGTGGGATTAAGACTCAAATCCCTTTCATGATTAAATAAAAAATAAATCACTAATATTCTAAAAGATATAGAGATATCACAATTACATTTCTAGAAGAAAGTAGATAATTTGGTGAAAAAGATAATTGAATAACTCTTGATTTTTAGTTCCTTCTTTGCTTTTTTAAGCTCTTAAATGGAAAAGACCTTTTTATTGAAAACTGATTTATCTTCAACTTACTGTTTTAGTATCATTGTGGTGAACTTCAGATTCTACCTAAATTTTCATATGAAATCTCTAGAAAATAATGTCACAAAAAATGTGAGATCATAGATCAATAAAAAATGATTGTGCAAGGGTGATTATCTGATAAATAATGGGTGAATTTGAGAACAAATTCAAGTCAAAGTCTTTCATATTTTATTCTACTCTTTAATGTTAAAATCTTCAAAATAGTTATGTTGACAAGAGGAAGAGAAAATATTAAAATTGATATATTGAAGAAGAGGAATGCATGAGGTTATATAGAAGAGAGGAAGAAATAAAGAGAAAGGAAGAAGTAGAGATAGTGGAGTAAGAAGAAGGACATGGAGAGAATAAGTCAAAAATAAGTCTAGTAGACCTAGTGGCCTTATTGTAACACTCTCCCTCAAGTTGGAGCATACAAGTCAAACATGCTTAACTTACTATATGTTATGTCATAGAAGATTCTCACAAGACTCTTGATGAAGATGTTCATGAGCTGATGAAATGAGAAAATTTATGTGGTAGAGATAAAACCTAACATTATCTTATTTCAAATGTAATGGTAATCAATCTTGATGTGCTCCGTCTGCTCATAAAATTTAGGGATTTCTAATAATGAAGATGACAACCTAATTATCAAGTAAATAGGCATTAGCGTAGGAGATGAGATGCCAAGGTTTTTGCTTAGCCATATCATCTCTCACATTGTCTTGGTTATGGTGTGATACTTAGACTCAACATTAGAGTAAGATACCACCTTCTACTTCTTGGAGCACCACATGATAAAGTTACAACTCACATATATATAATAACAAGTAGTGGAATTATGATCTCTCTTGTCACAAGTATATTTTGCATCCGAGTAGGCTTCAATCTGAAGATGTCTATGTCTTTGATAGATAAGCCTTCTCCTAGGAGTTCTTTTGATGTATGTTAAAACTGATAAAGCTTCCTCTTAGTAAACTTATCAAGGTTCCTACATGAATTAGCTAAGGACATTAATAGTATACACAATGTCGAGATAAGTGATGGTGAGGTAGATCAATTTCTCCAACACCTATTTGTACCAATTAGTATCCTCTTAAAGTGGAGACGACGTATCTTAAAAGTGCCAACGTGCCTTCGTAAGTGATGACTCTAGCTTGCACCCAAGTAACCTAGTTTCTTGAAATATATTAAGAGCATATTTTTGTTGAAAGAGAGTGAGCTTGCCATCTTGATAGGTGAACTCAATCCCAAAGAAGTATCGTGCAATCCTTAGATCTTATATACTGAAGTACTTCTACAATTATGATTTGGTAGCTTGAATGTTTATTTCATCACTTTTTGTCACAAGAATGTTGTCCACATAAATAGCTAGGATGACAATGTCAACTTTAGTAGTCTTTGTAAGTATTATGAAATTCTTAAAATATGGTAAGAATTTGAATTACACTAGAAGATCATTGAACTTGATGAACTAGGCATGTGAACTTTGCTTAAGTCTATAAATCGTACGTTGGAAAAGGCATATCTTTGATGACTCCTCTTGAGCAACATATCTAAAAGATTAGTCTATAAATATATGCTTTTTAAGCTTGTCATAGAGAAAAATATTAGAAACATTCAATTGATGTAAAGATCACATCTAATTCACCCGTATAAAGATTATCACATGAATAGAGTTAAGTTGAACCACTAGAGAGAATGTCTCAATGTAGTCAATGCTATAGACTTGTATGAATTTATGAGCAACTAAAGAGCCTTGTGACATGTAATAGATCCATCTCAGTTATACTTGAGTGTGAAAATTTACTTACATGTTGACATCATGTGGATGAGATATAAGTGTCCAAGTTTTTCGAGACACTAAGGCATCCTAATGTAGGACAAGACGAAAACCTTTGTACCTGATCAATATAACTCAAGACCCAAGAACGAGACAATTGGACCGATCCAATAGAATGTAAAGACCCTAGACTTTAGGCCTGACCACATAACTAAAGTATAGGCAGGCATACCAATATGCACTATCAACCTAGGATAACCCAAGGAAACACTCGACGATGGTAAGTGTGAGGCCCTCTCAGTCCACGTCTAGATAGATGGTAGAACGGTCATTGTGAAGTAGCCTAGGGCTGCAGCTCACAAACGGTGACGAGTCTAATGTAATGTTGGAAGTCACAACCCGATAACCCGTCCCATCCTAGCTACGTTCTCCTGATGGCGGTGGAAACGAGCTGAGAAAACCCTTCGAAAGATAATTAAACTTAAGTAAGAAGGGGTATGGGGCTAACCTTCGAGGCTATGTAGCCCAGCAGGACGTGATGGAGTGGAGACTCAATGCAGCAAAGACGTTTGAGGAAGAGTAATGCTCAGCATCGACAGTCGGTCCTAGTCGAGAAGTCACAATAGTTGTCGTCGTACAGTGTGGCACAGTCGGTGCGGGCATGGGCCCACTGATGGGTCAAAGGGCACGCTAGCGGGCGTGGGCTTGATGGTGGACCGAAGGGCACACTAGCGAGCGTGGGCCCACTGGTGGGCCGAAGTGCATGCTAGCAGGTGTGGGCCCACTGGTGGGCTGAAGAGTACGCTAGTGGGCGTGGGCCCGCTGGTGGGCTGAAGAGCACGCTAGCGGGCGTGGGCCTGCTGGTGGGCTGAAGAGCACGCTAGCAGGCGTGGGCCCGCTGGTGGGCCGAAGGGCACGCTAGCGGGTGCGTGCGGCAAGCCGTGCGGCGGCCTTAGGGCACGCGGGCAGTGGTGCCGGGTGGGTGCGCGGGCTGCAGGAGCCAGCGCGCGGGGTGCACGCGACGATGGCACTTCGGCGGGAATGCCAAGCGTCAGCGGCGCCTCGCGGAAATGCCGAGTGTCAGCGGCGTTTCGGTGGGAATGCCGAGCATCAGCGGCGGTTCGATGGGAATGCCGAGCATTGGCAGTTGGGCGGAAACCCAACTGTCGCCGAAAGGATCGGCCTTCTCTAGCGGATCCAGGAAGTGGAGTAGAGGAAGGAGACGATCTGGCCGACGATACCAGGGAGGGTTGAGCCTTCCTAGTCTAGGCGGCGCTGGAAACGGTGCGATGGCAGCGGATCGTCGAGAAACTCTGACGGGGCCTGTGAGGAGTTTGGACTAGATTTGGCTTGTCGGCATGGCAGTGGGGTCTCTCCCAACGTCGGTGGCAGGCAGGCATTCGTCGGCGGACGGCCAGCAACTGGGTGGAGCGACGGATGGTGGCTCCGGCGAGTTTATGGTGGAGTTCTGGAGGAAGAGGTGGCAGTCGAACCAGGAGTCAAGAGACTCCGGCGGAGTGCTCGGCAACGGCTCGTAAGGAGGCAAAGCAAGCCCCTTTCGTCATGACGGCGTGACGGGGTTCCAACAGAGGCGGCGATGGTTATAGCAGCAACTGCAACTATTTTGTCCGGTGACGGCGGCGAACTCCCGGGCGGCAATGAGATGGCCGGCAGTGGCCGTGGTCTCAGGCGGCGGCAGGGCTTCTTGGGCAGTAGCGTCACGAGGAACAAAGTCCTCGAAGGGGGTATCGACAGCCTTCCTCTCCCTCCTTCCCTCCCTATTCTAGGTCAAGAGGAAGATAACTCACAACGATAATTTCTCTCAAAAATACAGTGCTCTCTTGAGGGGGGGGTCCTACCTCCCGTTATATTGGGGCCCACAAGTGGGCTAAGGGGAAGTGAGCCCACTTGAGGTCCTCAAGCCCATAAGCCACAAAAGGCTACAAAAGGGGCTTATTGGGCCTCTAAAAGAGAGATCCAACAAGCTCCCCTAAAAGGAGAAAGAGAAGAGCCCTCTACAGTGCTTAAGTGGGCCTCAAATGAAGACCCAATTAAGCCCCAAAAGAAGCCCAAAAGGAAAGAAGCATAGGTCCCCCCCCTCAGGGTTTTAATTGGGCCTCAAAAGAAAGACCCAATAAAATCCTAAAGAAAGAGAGACACAAACAACAACACATACATAGAATTGGGCCCACTAACACACAAATGCGAGGCCCAACAAGTCAACATGAAAATATCAAGAAAGATAAGGGTGAGCTCAAGCTTGTTGTCGTCGCAAAGGTGGAATGTCATCATCCCAAAGGGCTAAGTTGTGTAGTGAAAGCCAGGCTCCTTTGTCTTTGCACGTCGATCGGTCTGAACTTAGATTGTCAGCGTCTCTTGAGCTGATGGAGACGGGTCTTGCTCGCCATCACATCTACCTCTAAATCTATGACCACCTTCCATTTAGGTACTAATGCAGCCTCAATGTACGACTGTGGAATCGACCCAAAAGCCACAAAAAGAGCAAGGTATGAAAGGAAAGAAAAAAGTGGTCAAAAGAAATAAAATGAGAAATGAGGTGTTTGGTGTATGTATGCATACCTTTGTAGAGAGCAATAGAAAGATGAAGGTCATCCACCTAAGTGTTAGAAGAGACAAATGAAGGAGGCTCGTCGACAAGTGATGAAGATGAATCTGATCCTAGAGCAAAGGAGTGGGATGGTGATGAAGCTAAATGTGTTAGAGGAGGAGCTGACAAAGGAGAAACTAGATAGGTATGAAGAGTAAGAAAGGGATCTACAATGATCATCATAAGAAGAAAAAATTAACGTTAATTGATGGTGAAGATGCAACGGATTATGGAGGAGTCATTGTTAGAGAAAAGAAGAGAGACTCCTTAGAAAAAGTAATATCAACTGATGTAACATAGCGACGAGTATTAAAAAAATAGACTTGATAACCCTTTTGTGTCTATGAGTAGCCAATAAAGACCTATTTGAGAATATGAGGGTCAATTTAAAAATACAAGAATAGTCTTAGATGAAAATAGTACATCTAAAGATATGAGGGGGTAAGAAAAAAGAAAAAAAGAAAAAAATTAGATGAATCACGATAAAGTAGAATGGGCCCACCAAGTGGAACAGAAGGAAATCAATTCTAGAGATATGTGACTATTAAGAGAATGTCATATCACAGATAATGAGGAACAATCATCTCAGTGAGTAGTGTGCAAGTAATGTCAAGTAGTTAGTGATATTTTTGTTTGACAATATTATTTTGTTAAGATATGTTTGGACACGTGGTCTAATTAAGAATACCACAATCAACATAAAATATAGAAAATGAGTTTTAGACCAACTTCAAAATATTGTTAGTGTAAAGAATTTTGAATGTAATAGAGTATTGAATGATGAACTCGATAATTAAGTGAAGAACTATAGTGTGAACTTTGGTATGATCTTAGAGAAAATAGACCCAACTTCCTCGAGTGTTGTCATTAATAAAGATAATTATTAGAATAGGCCCATTGGGCCCACCAAGCCTATTGTAGGCTTATTCTTTCATGTCTTTATTCTCCCTTCACTATCACCACTTCTCCCTCTCTTCTATATAACCTCATGTACTCCTCTTCTTTAATATATCAATTATAAGGTTTTCTCTTCCTCTTGTCAACATGATATCAGAGTCCTAAGATTTCTCCTCCACCACCACTCCACCTCTTCTCCTATCTTGGCATCAACTCTCTTCTCCTGATGCAATCACCTACAATGTCGCCTTGCATACCTACTCAGTCCTTGGTTTGCATAGCCCTGCACGCTTGCCATACTTCTTAGTATGTGCACCTACATACTTGTCCAGTGCCATCCTGTACACCCATTGATGTGCACTTGTTGTTGTGTTTAAATGTACATTATCTAATAATATTTTAACTAAGACTCAATAAAATATTA